TTTGTGTCTCTTTTTAATACAATTTTTAATCCTTTGATTGATAGAGTCGAAAATTAAGTCCAATGAATAGTCATTCTGTAGTAAAATATTAATGATAAAGGTCAAATTTTGTATGTGAAATATACCGTCAGATAATAAAAAGGTTCTGTCAACTAATGAAAAGATGGTGCCTTTTTTCTGTGTCAATGGATGATTAGAATAGAAGTTCAGAAACCTACCTGAGAACGTTGGCTTACGGTACCAATCGAAATAACAGTGATTTTTGTTGATAGATACGGTGATGTCCAGGAAATTTATCGTATTTCCGCCTCTTTCGACAGTAAACTGCAGGCTCGGATGAAATGAATTAAATTGTTCTAATAACCCGTCGATTTGAGAAGGAGGCACCGCCGTACATATGTCATCAATGTATCTATAGTAAAATAAGATGTAAAAATTCAACGACATCAGGGACACCGTCTCCAATCTCCTAGTCACTAAGTCCGCTATTACCGGTGATATGGGAGAGCCCATGGGGGTGCCAAAGCTTTGTTTGTAAATTACATTGTCAAAGAAAAAAAATGTAGAATCCAAGACAAACTGTATCGCTCCCAAGAACTCCTTCTTGGGCAGGGAACAATCACTGGAAATAACATGCCACTGTTCATTCACACAGTTGATCGCTACATCCGTTGGCACGTTCGTGAAAAGAGAGGTGACATCCAAAGAAATTAATTCATGCGCCCCTGTAAAGTGCACACTTCTCAACTTCTCGACTAATTCAAAACTGTTTTTAACGTGACTGTCCGCTTTAGGAATGGTTTTGAATAATCTATTATGTAAAAATGTAGCCAATGGATACAACGGACTGCCCACCGATGACACGATAATTCTGAGAGGGCAATCAAGCTTATGAATCTTCGGCAGCCCATAAGCCCTTGGAAGAGATCCGTCACTACAGTACAACGTCCTGTACTCAGAGTCCTTATCCAAGGGCATTCTTAATGTGCTACTTTCGATCCCCTTAATGCAGTCAAAGATGACTGTTTTTGTTATTAAAAGGGAGCGCGAAATTATTACCCAGTTGTTGGAAACATTGAACATTGTGAGGAATGTCACACGATAAGTTCAAAAACCATCCGTCCCTGACAGTGGTCAAAGACGAAGGACTCTGTAAAGGAAAAGAGTTAGGATGTATGGCAATCAACACGACTAGGAGAACTATTATTTGGAAAGGAAGAAGGATTAACGACGTGCGGTGCAGGGTTCGCAAGAGAGCCCCGCTCCAAGGACCCAAAAGTATGCCCAATGTTGAACTAGCCGGATTACGAATAGAGTAAAAACTATATTGTATAGGCGCGATCCCAACGATCGTTAGGACCAAACAAGCCATCGTTGGGATCGCGCCTATACAATATAGTTTTGATTCTGTTCGTAATCCGGCAGCCGAAACTTGTAATGATACCTTTTCTCCGAATATTTTATGTATTGATATACGTCGTTCTGCATCGTTAACTTTATGTATCTCTGATTAATGTCTTTAATTATAATATGTATTCTATTTTATGCGCTGACTCTTATTTCGCCGTTTAGTTTGTTTATTAATGTTACATATAAAGAGTCTTTATACCATTGTTATCAATTACTAT